TGACATGAACAGATCGTTCATGAATCACCTATCTGGGACTAATGCAGCAGGATGTCTACACGAAATATGGCGGATGTTGTTATTATTTTGATAAAAAATAATATGATAATATAAGAGAGCGCCAGGAGCGTTCACAGCCGAGGAGACCATTCTTGTCATGGCCGTAAAAGTGAATTGAAGTGACAGAGAAGTGACGTTTTATGGGGGTAAGTTATGTCCTAGTAGCCTACATCTGTGTTTTGCCAAACAGGTCTGATCCTACAATTAGCCTGAAAAATTTGGGTAGCCTAAATGTGTAAGCTAGAAGTGTTAATATTTTCCTTGTTATTATGTATGATTTTCAAAAATAAATACTGCTGCATATGTGTTGGTGAGAGAATCAAACTGTGCGCGCTTAAAATAGCATTATGAACAACGTGCAACGCGCCACTGACTTTAGACTAGTTTTTTTCGCGTTATATGTATGGCATGTTGGTCTTTGTTTGTTGTTGCTGGTATACGTTGCAAACAGAGGGGCGGCAAAATTGTTTTTCGCCTAGAGCGGCAGAAGTGCACGCGCCGGGGTCCTGCATAGGGAATTGATAAGATGGTTGTGTGATTTCCTATTGCTGTGATGTCATGTGAGTGACAGGTTGCCTCGCCCTCATGCCTGTAAACAAGAGATGACCTGCAAGAGAAAGGGGAAGTTATTTTGAATAAATAATAAGGCGGCACATAAAAAAAATGTGCACAGATAACTAATTTATATTTAAAAAAAAACATTGCAATATTATAAAAAAAATAACACTGATTAAATTTTTAAACAAATGATGTTGTTTACACTGGTTGTTAAACTGTTTTTTTTTTTTTGAGAAATGGTTGAAAGACATCTAAAGACTAGACACGTACAGTCAGTCACAGCTCAAGCTGCTTAATCAAGCATGTACAAATAGTTTCTTACACACAAGTGCACAAGCACAAGCCACAGGGCCTTAAATAAGATAACAGGAAGACGGTGTGTGTGCTGCCGGTACAGATAAAGATCTGATCTATTGTGTGTGAGCTTGTGTATGGTTTGGGTGTGTGAATATGTGCGCTCTTCCGCAGATGTTTGTGTGTATGTTTATCTCTGTGCATATTTGTGTGACACTGAGCCCCAAATAACCTCCTGCCCCCCCAGACCTCCTGAGGCATCTGTCTCGCATACAGTCACAGACTGTACTGCTGTTACCCCGATGTGCATCTCAACTGACATTCTGCTGTCCATCACTTTCATGATCAGCAAGTGCAAACGTTTTCTCAACATTATATTTTGGTCGCAAGTAATGTATTACAAAGTTTTATGTTAGTAAGTAACACAAATGGTAGCCTATTATTTCAGTTGCAATATTATAGCAATATATTTTAGTTTACCTTAAACTGGCATTTTGATTGTAATATTTAAATAACTGAAATAAAATTATCTAGAATTGAAAAGACCTGGTAGGTTATATTTTAAAGCTGCAGTCCGTAGCTTTTTTGGGTTAAAAATTATCCAAAATACATTTTTGAGCTTGTACATAATCAGCCAGTGTTCAAAACTCTCTGCTTGCCTTAGCTCGATTCAAAACGGTAAGCTTGTAATAATGTTTTTAATTCCAGTGGGACTAGTGGATTTCCGCGGGAGATTCGAGCTTGTCTTTGTGTCATTACGTCACATCTGTACACATATGTACAGAAGTAGTTTCGGCTAATATAAGCTATAATGTGTGTGAGGATGCTGGAGGTGGAGATTTATAGCCTTTTCTCACAGCACTTGATATAATTAAACATCAATCTGATGACATAAGAACATTTCTGCAATGTTATAAAATATGCTAAATTAACCTTGCCATGCTGTATATAGTAACTAACATTACATTATTACAGCAAAAATAATACATTTTTACACATTAGATGTGATCGCAAGGAGTTTGTTAATGTATTTATTAAATAAGCTTCTATTTGTTAAATAAAAAAAAAAAACTGCCAAGTTTCATCTCACTACTCACTAGAAGATCATTGTGATTTTTTTTGACTGTACATTTACATCAGAATTCAGGGACTTCTTTTGGGTGGGCGAGTTTTGTTCTGACTCACTAGTCCACATCAGTTCTGCTCGAGAATCAGTCTTCCATGAGCGCTTAACTAAAGTGTCAGAGGTCAGATCGAGAGACGGGATTACTGAGCTAAACAGATTAGCTAGATATATTTATTTTTATAGAAAGCTATTGGACAACTGGCTTTTTGATTATGTATGAGTGAGTGGTGTGGAATTTATTTATTTTTTTGCCCTTTGGGGTATGAGGTAGAACCCCAAGTTGGATAAAATAAAAATAAACATTGTATTTTTTTTCTAATGCTTTTTAAATGCTAAATATGACTTGTTTTAGTCCCTTTAACTAAATACTTACCAGAACAGTTTAACTTCTTTGTGATCTTTGACCTTATCACTTCTTAAAGAGTGGCGTCTCCCCAGCTAGTGGATAGTTTGATAGAGGACAATTTTTTTTTCTTTTCTTTTTTTTTTTTAAAAATCAATACTGTACAAAGGCAATATTTTATGTACATTATGGAACATTTGAGTTGCACATTCTAAGAGAAGTGAAACAATTTCATATGTATATTTATGGTGATAGTCAACACAATATATATATATATATATATATATATATATATATATATTTTCTTCTTATATTACATTAAATATTCTCCTGGTAGGCCTGAAACTTAATGTTTTGTTCTTCAGGTACTGATATAGACCAGTAAAGGTATTTGAAATTGCATTATTGCTACTCATATGGAGACCCTGTGATTGCAAAATGGTCTCATTTCGCCATAGATTCCAAACTCATTGAAGGCTTTCCTGTTTATTTACAACAAAGCAAAGGGGACATGTTGTCTAGCAAGAACATTTCACCTCTCCCTCTTGGATTTGCTCTCTCTCTCTCTCTCTCTCTCACTCATTCTTGAACAATGGATCTTAAAGTCTTTGTGTGGAATGTATCGGTTTTCAGGAGCAAGATCAGAATTTATCTGGAATGTTTGTGGAAAAAAACATTGTGCGTGTACATGTGTGAATTTCAGTGACGTATAGTGGCGTAATTAAAACATTGTCACTCTCTCACACACACACGCACACAATTCTAATGTGAGGTGCAGAGTGGATTAGATTAGTCTGCGATAAATCACATCTGCTCTGTGTGAAACCGATGATACAGACATATTCCATAAACTCCAATCTGCCAAAAACACACACATGTGAAACACTGAGAGAGACGGAGATAAACACACATAAACAGACACTAAAATTAAGTATGTGTGAAAGAAGATCACTCTTGAGCTTTAGCAAAATCTTTAATACATTGTGCTTAAGTACAGACAGTTTGCGATCACACCAGCGTAAGAAAATAAGCACGTTGAATACGTTCTCCTTAACCAGAGACAATATGGAAGCCATTCACAGCCTTGATTGTCTCTGTGACTCTATCAAAACATTAGTGTTTTATTGGAGCATCTTGACCAATCTGAAACTGTCACTGTGTCCAAAATCGAATACTTCCCCACTATCTATATGAAAAACAGTACGCCAGCAGAGCCTATGTATTACATCGAAAATGAGTGGGCGAAAAGTGCTCGGACATACTACTTCAAGTGAGATTTTGAAGTTTGATGCATGCTATGGACACTTCCCATGAGGCCTCGGTAGAGGATTTATGAATGGCAGTGAAGCGACTGACGCTAGTAGGTCACGTGACAGTAACAACATGGCAGATGTAGTATGGATTACATTCATATCTATATTCATTTAGAACATTCTTTTTAAACGGTCGCAAAGGAAATTTAAATGCAAAGGAAATTTAAAAATTAAAAAGAAAATTAAAAATTTAACAACACATTGTAAGCCTTTGGATCAATGACGTGAGTTAGGTGCGGGTACGTCTATTTGGACGACTTCAGCTGTAAGGAAAACAACACAGTTTTTTTATTTTTAAGTTAAATATAGCTATATATTTTTTGCCATTTGGTGAAAACAGCCAACACTGCTAAAAGCACTACTATACAAATACTTCCATACACGTTGCTTCCTGTGCAACCTGTTCACTCTTGTTGATAATCAAAAAGTGACATTCTTCAAACCAGTTAAAATACAACAAACCGTTTCATATATGCCAACAGTAGCCATAAAACTAAAAATCATTTATTTTTTACCCAAAATAAGATTTAGTTCAGCTTTGTAGACTCATTTTGCCCTTTCCATTTCTATTAATAGCCTATATATGACTTGCTTTTAAGGTCCCCGATAGTATAAGTGATTTATTTACTCACTTATTGTGCGTGTGTGTGGTTTCAGATGGGTATTGTAACGCATTATTGATACAATTGTGATTTCTGCGTGAAAACGTTTGTTTTTTGTACCAGTGTCACACGTTTCAAATTGACAACCAAACACAATACATTCAATGCCGAGAGTAGCCTGTGTGAGCTAGGCCCTGGCAAAAACATTCATTTTCGACTAATGCGTTGTTTGTTTCCCTTGCTTTCCACAGTGTGCATTGTGGAAAGAAAACAAAATAAGACTTTTCTTACACTCATTTAAAGCATTACTGCCATCTGTCGGTGAGACTGTCAAAGCACAGCAGGTTTAACAAGTGAAGCGCCAACGAATTTTTTTTTACCAGCTTTCATTATGTAGGCTACAAAAAACATTAATCTGTGCAGCTAGACTGTATAAAACAATTATACAATGCTCTTCAAGGGATAGTTCGCCCCCCAAAAAATGTGTCATCATTTAGTTGTTACCTGAATGAGTCTCTTTCTTTTGTTGAACACAAAGGATATTTAAAAGAATTTTGAAAACCAGACAGTTGACGGCACCCATTGACTTTCATAGTATTTTCCTACTATAGAAGTCAATGGGTCCCATCACCTGTCTGTTTACCAACATTCTTCATAATATCTCTTTTTTTTTTCTAATACGTAATGGCATTTTTTGGGTGAACTACCCTTTAAAGTGACATTTTAAATAAAGCAAAGATTTGATCTGCTTTTATTGTGCTCAATATCACACACATTTTAGCCATGACCCTCGCTTGCATCTCTGGGTCCATCTTTGAGTACTTACATTTATTAGGAGAAATGCACCAAACTAACACGGAGTTCTTGATAATTATGTTCCGCACGATCCACTCGGCTCTGACTGTATGGCAACACATGGCATTGTGAAGTATCCGGATGGATGAGGGAGGACCGCACAGCCCTGATCTGGGCTGGGGGTGTACGCTGGAGGTTCATCTGATGGGTTATTGTTCGGACTTTCAATGGGGGCGGAGTTTTGAAGGGCAGGCATGGCGGTGGGAGGAGTTACAACGTAGCCTCCATTTATTGGAGCAAAACTCTCAGACTTTCCTAACACAGATGTCTGATCTCTGTCTGTAGACCCGTCCAATACTTTGTCCTGAGTGCAGGAATCATCACAGCACAGAATATAAGGCCCACTGAAGTTCATGCCTGATTTGTCTTTGCACAAATTTTTTCCCATGTAGGTGCACAAGGGGTTTGATCCACATGACTGTCCCATTTTACCAATATTTAAACTCACATCTTCAGTAGGTAACAAAAGCGGCTCCCAGGTGTCACTGTAACAAAATTATGGATGAAAGTAAAACAATGTCAGACATAGAGATTTAAGATGCACTTTAAAGTCGACATGAATTACAATACGCAACTGAACCCACACCATAATCCAACATATTTATTAGGGTTTGCAAAGAAAAGTGGAACTGCTGGCATTAGCTGGATGCAAAGACAGTATTATAAACAATCTAAAACAAAAAATAACTAAAACCAAAAAATGTTATGTAATTGAAACAAAGCTGAAGTCAAGTCTCCTTTATTTATAAAGCGCTTTATACAATTACTAAAATTAATAAAACTGATATAAAAATTCAAGCTAAATAAAAATATAAAAAACAAAATGTAATAAAAATAGCAAAAGTACAACATTTGCAATTAAAAGCTCATTCAAAAATTGTATAAATACGATATTAGTATATAAATTATACTAAAATATTACTGTTGCCGAGACCATACTGTAATTCCCACACAAAAGACCATTATCATGCAAATATACGTAGATACTCAACACATTCATTTCGTGATAAATTTAGAACTGTTTTATTGTGAAATGTTTTCATTTGAGTGAGAGCTTACCTGCTTTTGCAGATACTGAGATTGTCTGTAGCAAGCAGAACACAAATAGAGGTCGTCTCTTTCTCAATGATATGTGGCCATCCGCTGGGAGACTTCTGAAAGAGAGAGAGAGAGAGATAGAAAAAGCAAATATGTAATTTAGTTACACCATAACCAGATTACTAGTTACTCATAATAAATTTAGGCTATAAGACAAAACTGATAGACAAAAAGCCATGTTTGCCATCATTTTAGATGTTGTGCAGCAGAATGCACAATCCCTGAACTTATTGTATGCGCACTTCAGAATTTCGGAAGTAGAAGGTCATCTAGCTATGCATTTGATATGCATTTGTTGTAATGTTAGCTCTAGTAACAGGACAGTTTTGATCGGCATTGTTTGTCTGGAGCTGCTGTTCTGCTGGCGACTAATAACCAACTCTTGCTTGAATATGCATTTGTGTGCTGTGTGCTCATTTTTTTTCCTTCTTTGTCATTAGTTTGTCATCTTTGCATTATTTTTCGCGAAACATTGCGTGTTCATGCATTTTGGGGGTGGAGAAATTAAGGAAATTATTTTTTTTTCTTTAAATAATCAGTTAGTAAAGACTCACCTTGATCATCCCCTCCAACACTTTGCTCTTTATGGGCGATGGAACCGAACCATTCCATAACTTGATCCTTCTGTTAATAGAATTACACAAATTAATAAATAAACACACAAACAAAAACATCTACATAGCACAATGCCACAGATATCGAACGTTTTGAGGGAGCGTGTAATTACCTGTGACAGGCAGGAAGGGCATTGTACAAGATGATGAAAAGCACCACCACAAACACAGGAACCAAAATGTAGATGAGAAAGCTGGTGGGCAATAAAACTACACACAAAAAGCATCATGTATTGAGTTATGTCCTGTGGGTATTAATTATTGTTGTCCTATGAGCTTAAATAATATTACAAAGATGTTCACAGAACTTACATTTTTGTTATTTTACAAGAATCTCTCAATGAATTTGGTACACATGTATAAAGTAAATTTTTTAATGAAAAAAAACACCAAAGCACATATGCACACAAAGTACAGAGTATACAAGAGTACACAAGTATACAACACACTCAATAAGTATATGCATAACTTAAACAAATAAATGCATACATAAACAAACACACATGCAGCAGGGTGATTTTAAATGTTCTGTGCCACTTTTTTTAATAGTAATCTCAAAATTCATCCAATCTACCCAAAATCAACGCATAAGTCAATATTATTATTTTACTTTTTTCAAACATTATTTAAAAAATGATTTAGTGTGTAGTTTCTGTTTTGCGTTTAATTGAATATACAAGGAAGAAATCAGCAATTTGTTAATTTAAACCACTTTAAAAGTGAGCACATCTCAATTGTGAACTGGGCACTGACACATTATTCAAATCTGTGCCACTTTAAATTAAATTAGTTCTTGTGCCACTTTAAATTAGGAAAGAAATAAATCAACATTATAAAATAGGGTTGTATGATCAGAAGTGCAGAGTGTTACCTGGCTTAGTGGTGAACTCTGCTGGCTGCGACCAATCTGATGGCTGAATTTTAAACGCATTGTCTTCTACACTTACAGGCAGTAATCTGATCTGGGCCTGGTAAATAGTTGAAGAACTTAGATTCCCAGAAGGAAACTTCAAATTGTTGACCCCCACTTGAAGTGTAATGATAATTGGGTCCTACAAAAAAGAAAGTAAAACCAGGCATGTGATCAGTCACAGCTACAATGAATCATTTAATCAATGCAACACGGATACCGAAAGTAGCTAACACACCGAGATGTTGTTCGAGATTTTTAGCTGGGTGGAGTACTGCATTTCCACCTTTGATGGAATAACTGCTTCAGACCAGTTAAATTTGTAGGTGCCATCTTCTTCCATCACTTGAATCTGGTCAGGTTGTGAAAGTTTAACTTGAAGAGAAGAACAAACATGAATGTTCTTCCTAAACTCCAGATGGCAGCACTGTCACTTAAGACTCCACTAAACAACAGAGACTTACTGTGTTCACTAGGTCTGAACGTCCTACTGTATAGCACTGGTCTGAGCTCCACCGTTAACAGGTAAGGGTCAGAGACATTCACAGAACACAGAAACTCAGATAGCTCAACGTCCTGGGACTGCAGCTGAGGATCTTTACAACAAAGAGAGGGTCTGTGGGATAGAGAATGGGTTGTCTGTCAATATACAGGATGTGACATCACACTGTAGGATCAATTATTAGGGACATCACATGAGTTTGGGATGGATGGAGAACTCACTCATTTTTATCACTGTCCCTGCACCAGAGATGATAAGACATCAACTCAAAATGGTCTGTCTTCATTTGCCAGGTACACGTCACAGTTTTTTCTCCCACAATCACACACTGCAGGTTAAAGACTCCATCTGCAAGAGGCCATTAACTTCATTAAAACATGTATTTGCAGTATAATAAGGAATATCTATATATATTAGATAGTTAACAAACATAAATAAATAAACAAAAATAACACCATCGTGAGTTTTCCAGGACACCAGGGGGCTCCAGTCACTCCAGAGTCCTACAGGACCCCGCGCCCTCACTCTGGCTTGATAATGGTTGCCGGGCAACAGTGACTCCTTGTTAATCATATACTCAGACGCATTAATGTTATCCACAATCTGTACCAGTAAAACAGAAAAAGAACTTAGCGAAGGTAATGTTTCAATAACATGCAATTGTTTATTGAACTCTTGTGTAAAACACATTCGCATGCAATCGTTCTATAGCCTATGTTATAATTAATACTCTCTGTGGAACTTTCGAATTCTAATTGGTCAATTGCACCATCCAGCGGTATGTTAATTCCTAATAATGACCGGTAAAAACTGATAACGCATGCTCATCCGGATAACTGGATCAGGACCCCAATGTAAAGCGGAGAGCAACCAGCTGGATATACATAATCCATTACTTAATTCATTGGAAATATGAGTTGTAATATTTATGCAGTATACAGGAAACAAGTATTTTGGCAGCATGCTAAACTACATAACAATTTATTTTTCCACAAGTGGCATACTGATATACTATATCATATACTGACTTTAAACACACTCAGCATTCACCTATATACATATCCCAATCTTGACAGTGGATCTATCTCCAGTTTCAACCGCTAGTATCACTCTTTCATGTGGAGGCTTTATCTTAGGTTGGAAAGTTTGAGGTTATTATGACGTTTCCTTACAGTGTCAGATTGCGTTGTTTGATAGTAGCCTACAGTGAAACAAAGCGCTGCAGCACAGATATTGTTGTAGACAGGATATCCACAAGGTATCAGATAATATTTTGAGTATGTGAGCGATTTAATGCCATTTAGGGTTTGGTGTTTATACTTTGATGCCTTTTTCTCATTTAAGACAGTTTATTTAATTTCATACAGTATAGGATACAGTCTCTTTCAGAAGTTTGGAGTCAGTCAGATCTTGAATGCTTTTTAAAGAAGGGTCACCTTGTAGCATTTATTCGATCAAAAATTCTGTAAAAAGTAATAGTGTGAAATATTATTACTGTTTAAAATAAATGTTTTCTATTTGAATATATTTTAAAATGTAATTTATTCCAGTGATCAAAGCTGAATTTTCACCATCATTACTGCAATCTGCAGTCATGATCCTTCAGAAATCATTCTAATATCATGATTTGCTGCTAATTATTACGATCAATATTGAAAAGAGTTGCGATTAATATTTTAATATTTATTTAATAAATATTTTGGTGGAAAACATGCTACTTTTTAGCATTATTTTATTTATAGAAAGTTAAAAAAAAGCATTTATTTGAAATCAAAATCTTTTGGAACATTATAAATGTCTGTATTGTCATTTAAATGAATAAACTGAATGTTAAAGGGTAGATAGAGCAAAGTATTTGCAAATGTTTTTTCTGAAAATGTACTGTATGTGTGTGTACTCACAGTCCAGTCTTGAATACCACTATACTGAAGCTGGTATGTAAGAGTTCTTGTGATATTTGAGGATGCAGGATATGGGCTTTTCCAGGAAAGCAGATGACCTCCGCTATCAGCCACCATCTCCTTCAAGTCAATCGGGGCCTTAACCTTTCCTAAAATCACACACATAATGGTGAATTGCCTTTCCACCCCACAGATGCTTTAGAAGGATAAAATGCATTTATAAAACACACACTCACCATGCTCAGCAACTTTGAGGATTGTGGCTCTGGAGTCATTACAGGGTACTTTGAAATATAGAATGTGATTTGCGTGAACAGTAAACCTTCTAGTTTTAAAGCGACACTCGTGAAAGATCTTCCCATTGGGTAAAAGCACACCGGGTCTGAGCCGGTCGCAAAGTATTTCACTGAGAAGGAGAGAGAGAGAGAGAGATAAAGTAAATTTTCCCCATTGTAGTCTTTCTTTCTTTCTTTCTTTCTTTCTTTCTTTCTTTCTTTCTTTCTTTCTTTCTGTTTTCTTTCTTTCTTTTCTTTCTTTCCTTTCTTTCGTTTACCTACTTGTATATATTGTCCCAGTAGTGAAGTTCAAAGATAGATTTGTTTGCTGTAACCTGCGGATCGACCTCCCATTTGCATTGTACATATGTCTTGTAGTCATTGTAGCACTGCAAGGAATCCATCAATGGAGATTCTAAATCAAGAGATCAGAGGTCAATATTAAAGGTAAAGTCAGAAACATCAGTTCATGTCTGAGTTGCACATTTTAATAGACGCTACAACATGCGTCACCAAAGCATGCCAAAAATCCATGAATTCGAAGTACAGGCGGAGATAGCAGCGTTACCTAGCAACTTAAATGCTTATTTATTTCTACGTGAGGCTATGCGTCGGTTTTCACTAGGCTTGTTCGACTTGAACAGGCACTGCACAGACCGATCGGTTTATGACATCAACGTACCACGAGAGTGAAGCACACAGAGCCATCTGCTCTCGCTGTAGTTTTATGTCATTAACCGATCGGTTTGTGAAGCGCCGGTTCAAGTCGAACAAGCTTATTTATACTTCTGCATCATTTTCTGCGTTGATGTGTAATTACACAAGCAGAGGGAGTGTGTGAAACCGAAGATGGGTTCAAGCAGACAATCACAGCCCTTGCGCGTGTGATACACACAATGTACTCAATTGTGTTTTTTCTGTCTGTTGAACATTTAAATTGTCATGGGAAAAGTGATTGCATTATTGTCTTATGTGTTGGTTATATACAAATATATAGTTACATTTATATGAAGGACTTTTATTTTGACATTCTGTCGGGAGAGTCGCGACGGCTTTATGCACAGCTGCACTAACGTTACTTCTTGAACTTCAGCCAGCTCCTTGTTTCCTGTCTGCCGTTATTGGACAAATTGATTAATTCAGGTGTGCCTGACCTCAGTAGTCACGGCAACAATAATCAGACACACCTGAATTAATCAAGTTTGCCCAATAATGGCAGACAGGAAACAAGGAGCTGGCTGAAGTTCAGGAAGTAGTGCATCTGTGCAAAAAAGCCAGAGGAGCTGTTGAAGAGCAGACGCGGGGTTTTACAAAATTCAGAGGAAAGTGGGGGAAATGAGATGTACGGGCAGGAAAAGGAGTGATGAAACAATTATATCTAGACTCAGATTTGGACATACAGGATTAAACAGCACTTTATTTAAAGGTAGTGTAGGTCAGAATTTTAGAAAAACTTTTTTTTCCAAATTTGTTTAAACTTTCTATAGGCTATATATCAATGCATAATTAAAATCTAAGTACTCTGAAAAAAGAGTATAAAAATCGAGTGACTCTAGACCGTTTAATCTGCACTAAACACAGCTCATTATTTCGAACCGGGGACGAAACAAGGGATTGGCTTAGGCGACTGTCACTCTCTCGCAACCATGGCAACCACCCTTTTGCCACACAGGACCTGCCCACATGCGCGTATCCAGATCGTACCTGTTCGCATGCTCTTGTTTGAGCTTGAAGATGCAAAACTCGACGCAGGTCCTCTTGTCTAAAAAGTGCTCCTTGCCCTGCACTTCGACTACCCCGTCCTCGGCCTCTACTTCCTCAGCTGACGATGCGGTACTTGCTTTCTGTCTATGGGTAACTTACTTGTCTCGGGGAGTCCTCATCAGAATCAACAATGCTTTCATCAAGCAAACTCTTACATGCAGTCAGAACACCATATAATATGTTATGAATCTTACACGAAATTCACCTTCATCACAGTGTAAATGATGGCAATGGAAAAACGTGTATGCAACCTGTTTTTGCTTTGGCTTATAGAGAACTAGCTCGTTAGCGAATCAATAAATATATATTGTAAACTTTACCAATATCAATATGCTAGCTTGATAGTGAGTAATAAAATACAACTTATTTGTTTATCTTCATAATGATAGTTAGATTTTTTTTATTTACATGTGTTTCCTCTCCGCTGGTCTCAGGTAATGCGTCTTCAGCTCAGCTGTCGGAGTCGCGCGTTCATGTGTTTTGGGGGCGTGGCTTTGGAAGGAGCCCAGAAGGGAGGGGGTGAAGTGAATGGAAATAATGAGCTGTCTTTAAAACAGTCGTGCGAGGTCTACAGACACTCGATTTTTATACTTTCTTTTTCAGAGTACTTAGATTTTAATTATGCATTGATATATACACAAAGTTTAAAGGAATTTGGAAAAAAAGTTGTTGTTTTTTTAAATTCTGACCTACACTACCTTTAAAATAGGTAAAATAACACCGGCAGATGTGAATACTGTGAACAACAAGAGACAATAGAACACGTCATTATACACTGTAAAAAAATATGAGGGAAAAAGGTGGGAAATTATCCAAAATTTGAAAAAGGAAAGAGTAAGGTTTGATTTAGTAGACATTTTTGGGAAAAAAATTCTAAAGAAACGTGTTATGGAATTGTTTTGCATTATTTTAGAATGATTAATATAATTGAGAGTATTTATTTATATATTTATAAAAAAATTGTTTATTATTTTATAATTTATTTATTAATTTATATATATAATTATAAGTAAGTAACACACTCCATACCAGTTGGTGGCAGTAATGCACCATTTCATTGTGTGCTAACCGCCAAAAAACTAGAAGAAGAAGGAGACCAGACGCAAACTCTCTTGTGTCTTTTCAATCCTGTTTTACAGGTAAAAATATGGACATTCAAAAGTGAAACATTTGACTATACCACAGTGACTTCACTAGTACCATGTGTAGTGAATGTAAAGTGTTAAATGTGCGTTAGTTGATGATGTTTTGTTTGTCTGTTGTGTGCTCACGATAACGTGGGGAAAATTATATTCGCTCCAGTTGTCAGTATATTTAGCTATAGTGTTTAATATATACTAGTATTAATAGTTGCGTGTTATAAAAAGGTTATTTGCTCATGTCAATTAGTTAATAGTTCATATTGTGAATGTTTGAAGCTCTTTCTGTAATCGCATTTGGCGCGCTTATCAGTCACGTGGCCTGCCACTGAGGAGAATAGGAAGCCGCTTCGCGACGCACTTCCATTTGGAAACAAAACATATCACTTATTTCCGGTTACGTTTACTTTCAATGTACTGCGGTCAATTGAGTTGAACAAACACCACCTGAGTGTCTGTAATAAGATTTTATATTTTGGACATTTTTATTGACAGAAGAAGGGATTTTTTGATGTTTACCGTGTGCAGAATTTTCAAAACTCATCGGAACATTAAGTTTTAATACAAACCAAGCCAATCCGAGAAAGCTGCGGCTGTTAAAAATACACCAATTTTTCATTATTTCACGTTTTTCAATGTCAATCGTTTTACTATTACATGCCAAAAATGCTTAATTAATATTCAGAGAAGTTGACTGTCATTCTCCTCTTGCTGCGTGCATTCTGATCGTAGGTAGGCACCTCGCAATCATTCATTCATTCATCAGTTAACCTTCAGACCCCCGCCGGCGCTCTGAAGCACTATTTTAAAAAGACAGGAATAAAGCACCAATGCACACTTTTTATTCATTAAAAAGATGTAAACTCAAGTATAGAATATAAGTAGGCTAATACTGCTGTTAATGAGAAGACAGACTGCTGCAGGTTAGTGGATAAATATATTTAGCCTATTTATTATTCAAAATCGAACAGTTAGAAAGAAAATATATTTATAGGAACATTTCAGCAGGCTCAAGATAATTAATACAGAGATCGTTATGCATCGCTTTAATCAATTGGCTTCCATAAAACGTAGTGATAATCTGCATTCTCATGTATGGACGTGCGATGAACACTCTAAATATTTAATATCATTGTTAATGATATTGGTATTTCTGTTTATAAGATGGGAGGGTACACTAAAGGATACGCGCTACACACAGTCTACGACGTAGGCCTAAATGGCGCGAGTTTGACGCAGAAGTACAAATTGGCTTTATGCACAGCTGCACTACTTCCTGAACTTAAGCCAGCTCCTTGTTTCCTGTCTGCCATTATTGGCCAAACTTGATTAATTCAGGTGTGTCTGATTATTGTTGCCGTGACTACTGAGGTCAGGCACACCTGAACTAATCAATTTTTCCAATAATGGCAGACAGGAAACAAGGAGCTGACTTAAGTTCAGGAAGTAGTGCAGCTGTGTATAAAGCCAATTGAGCTTAACAATCAGGATCCTTAGAAATGCTGTCTGTGATGTCAGAAACAGCAGTGATTTCAAACATAGTTTTTAAGACTGTCTTTAGATCACTGAAGTTTAAAAGAGATTTAACACCCAGCAATGGTGTTGACTTATGAATTTTGACTTGGTTTGCCTTAACACATATTAAAAACACCACATAGACATTTAAACAACATTAAAAACTGCATTTACACTACAGGGGGATTTTAAAAGTAGTATACTAATAGCACACTTGAATAAACTTATTTTTCGTAAGAGTATGAAAGATAAAAAAAAACAATGACAGCCAATCAGAATCCATCCTGCTAATATGGATATTGTTATCATTTGTATTTACTGTTCTTGGTGCCTTTAAGATGTCATGTCACAAGACAAACCTTTTTTCCAAGCGCATTGCTTTCTCACATACGTGTGACCACAGACAGGAACTTCTAGAGGCTTAGCTCTGGATGACGCAATTTTTTGGATTGCTAAATTTAAAGGGATTTTTCTATACTATTCTTAGATTCAGGAAGGCTCTCAATATTACTTAGAAGTGAATTTCTAATTCTTTGGAACTGGAAATCCGCAAAAAGTGTCTGCAAAGGAAAATCTCTATTGACTGTCTAGCTAGGTCCAAGATAAGGATTTATTTTTGCTGAGATAATACAATTTATGTGTATGAGTTTAGGACGGAGGCCACCATAAGATTATAGAGACCACCGATAAGATCTATCTGATGGACACATGCCTGAACTACACAGGTTTTACAAAAGAGAACTGAATGCAATAATGTCTGAAGGTGTTATCTTTCTCTCTCACCTTTCCCAGGCGTGACTTCATAATGAGGACACTGGTTGCCAATGCCCCGTCTGATCAGCAGAGTGAATGAAACCATATGCAGAATCCATGTGGAGAACATTGTACAGTAGCTGAGATGCACGATCAGCTTTTTTTACAGCAGGTGATTCTTCTGGTTACTTCCAAGATATCTGCATATTTACAAACCAGTGTTGGTGGTTAGAACCACTCAATTTAAAGGGACAATTCACTCCAAAAAAGAAAATTCTGTCATTGTTTATTCACCCTGCAGTTGTCTGTTTTGAGGACCTTTGGGGTACAAACAACACTGAACCGCTCCGACTTTCAAAAAAAAACAAAGCAATCTTCAAAGTCTTATTTTAGGTTTCACAGAAGGAAAAAAGTCATACAGTTTGGAACAAAACATGAGGGTGAGGTAATTTCAGAATTTTCATTTGGGGAATGACATTATGCTGTTGACATAAGCAAACACAAAAGCACACCACAAACATGCTTCTGGGAAATACTTGCTTTTAAAGGGATACCTCAGGATTTAGCATTAAAGGGTTAGTTCACCCAAAAATGAAAATTAAGTCATTAATTACTCACCCCCATGCTGTACCAACCCCGTAAGACCTTCGTTCATCTTCGGAACACAAATGAAGATATTTTTGATTAAATTTGAGAGCTGGATCACTACCACATAGACTTCCGGGACTGGCTCTTGACGGCCCAGAAAGTCAATGAAGAAAATGTTTAAATATTCCATGTGACTACAGTGGCTCAACTATAAGTTTATCAAGCGACGAGAATACTTTTTAAAGTCGAATAAAGTCGTTATGTTTGTTTGCTTTTTCGCACAAAAAGTATTCTCGTCGCTTGATAAACTTATAGTTGAGCCACGGTAGTCACTTGGGAAAAGAAGAAAAATATCTTCATTTGTGTTCCGAAGATGAACGAAGGTCTTACGGGGTTGGTACAGCATGGGGGTGAGTAATTAATGACTTAATTTTCATTTTTGGGTGAACTAACCCTTTAAGCTTTGTATTAGTAGAAAACCTGTAGTATTTTTTCGAATTACCATGCTTTCCACCCTCACATCACCCTGAGACAGGAGATTTATGTATTTTTTGTCTGGAAAAAATCCTCAGATGATGCAATCATCATTTTGCGTCATCAGAGGATTTTTTTTTTGTACAGAGGCTAAAGACTACAGTCAGTAGAAGGGGCTGTTCCCGCTCCTCCGTGAGAGATACGAGACCGGTGAATCTCACAGGTGTCGCTCATTGGTAATCACGCCACCGGCCTCGCAGCGTTCTCCCGCGGCCCTCACTCGTCTCCTCCTCGCTACAGTAAACGCAATGAATGGCGACTGTAGAATGCAAAAGCCGAATCCTAGACATTTTGGGCAATCTCGAAACACATTTTCGGGGAGACTCATCACGAAGACTCACTAGTAGCCTAGACTTGTTGTTTAACTACTGCGCTAATAGGCGTGGCCTCCTAGGGCAGCGATGCAAATGCATTCTGTTAGTTGTTGTCTATCATCCACATAAGCCAAAAATACATTTTTGGGCTTTTCTCTGTCAAAGCTCAAAATTCAAAAATAATTTCACATTTCTTATATATAAATGACCCATTTAAATAGGCTCCACATTCATCTTTCCAGAGGTGAAGTATCCCTTTATAAAGTACAGAATTTCATTTTTCTCACAGTACATTTTTCCTGTCATTAAAAAATGCTTCATCCACACAGCAAACTTTAAAGGTTAAGTGTTTCTGAAATCATTTCTGCGCCACCAAATGAAACAGAAGAATTGTAGAAATAAAGACTGTTTTCTTGAACAGAACTACCGTCTGATATTGGTCCGGCAAACAGATTGTCCGGTCCGGCAAACAGATTGTCCTGAGTAAAACTCATGCTTGGGTCTACAGTTAGACGTGTTTTAACATAGAAATTGACAAACTAAACTTTAAAAGTAGGCTATTAGTTAATTTGAAAACATAACACAGCATCTAAAAATGAAGGACGCACAAAATTCTTTTTTTTTTTTAAAGCACAAAGTTGCATATATAAAATTACTTACTGTTTGTGACAAAAGCATGGTGACCTCCAAATCCATCTTTAAATTGAGCATTCAAAGTCCATCTTTTAATTAATGGAGCACCTCAAGGAACAGGTGCAAATCTTGATAATCACTCTAGATCTTCATGGCACACGTTTGTACAATATAACTGTACATAAAACTACGATTCTGCGGTGAACCTGAGCGTCTATCTCTACCCTTAACCCACTAATAGAGCGACGCGGTGTAAAACACAGACAGCACACTGTCACCATTCTCGCAACTGCCAGGAAACAGCTACGAAAGGGATTTCCCTAAGCTTAAAAGACTGTGTGAGGGGCGTTGGGGGAAAGAGATGTGGTCAAACTAAACACGTTCAGTCGGAAATTTACTTTAAAATGTGTGTAGTTAGTTTAGTTTCTTATGTTTTTCTGCCAATTTTAAGTTTACGCTTTCATTTAAAGGTTGATTGCCGTACGGCTGCTATGTTTAGCTGCGGTGAAATACAGGAGCGAACGTAGGTGAGAGCTTGAAAGGGCAAAAGAAACAAAAACATGTTTTACATCACTAATTGTTCCTACACTGACTTAAAATGTGTTTTCACCGCAACAACTCTTGGTGGCCTTCACGCGTGAATGCACTCCAATAAGCAAAGCAAAAACAACATATATAAAAAACAAGGTTTAACAGTGACAACGAGACGGTTGTTGTTGAGAGGGTCACTTGTTTTCATTATTCTAATACATTTTTTTGGCTATTTTTTTTTCATCTTGTTTAAAGCATAAAACACAAAATCTAGCAATTTTTATGCTTAATATAATTAGCTTAAAAAATTAAATTATTTCTGATTTTCTTGAAACATCTTCCGAATATATCTTCATGTTTTAGGTTAAATGTTATTTCTCAAAGAGTCTTAGGCATAAAAAACATGTTGGGAATATAATTATCTCTAGTCTTTATGGTTTCTGATTATCTGTCTATTATTGTGATGATTTTTTTTTTAATCCATATAAAAATCAGGATAATGGTCATTTTGATTCGGAAGTCTTCAGAGACGCTTATAACAAAGTTGATTTTTGAAAATTGGTAAATAACTACTTAATAACTTAATATCAATTATATATTTTCCCTAAAATGGGGCCTATCCCATTTTATTATCAATGTTGTTTCAGTATTTGCAAGTTCAAAATACTGGATTTTTTTTTTTTTTCAAACAGTAGTACTGTAGTACTAGTATTTCATGAATTCACCCAAATTATCTTAGATAAATAGCCTTTATTTTCCACTTCTGTCACTGGTGATTTTTGGCTAATTTTAATATAAAATATAGATGTCTGTGAATTGCAAAAGCTGAAAGCTTATTACACAATTTCATACTCATCTAAAAGTATACAGTATTCTTGGTTAAAAAAAACCCTTACCTGTATTTCTGTCATCAAAAGCAGGCTAGTAAACTTCCCATTCATTAGTCCTTGGATTAAAGACTGCTTATCTTGGTCTGTTGCAATCGACTTTTTTTGGAGGCTGCTTTCTCAGAACTGAAGTGCATATGCACATAGGATCATTTACTTGAACTAATAGCTCAAAACCAAAAGTTCCTTTTTTTTCTCAGTTGGGTAAAAACAATAGTTGTTTGGTCATCAAACCAGTCTTCTCACAGGAACTGGGTTAACATGCTTCAGCTGAATATGAATATATCAGCCGAGAACTATATAATGAAATCTTAATCAATATACTGACTGTATTCACCTTTACAGCATCAACGCCACCTTCTTATGAATATTGAATGTCACAGCTTTCACACAGAAGCACCTCTACACACATTTTTACACCCCAAAACACTTTCACACACTCATACTTCCAAATTCAATTGCTAATACGTGTTGAGGTATACCCATAAACTCACATTTGAAGATTCAAACAGCAGTGAGAGCTTTCCAGTAACAGGCAGATCCAAGAAAGTGTCAGTAATTTCTAACTCTTTCTCTTTCTCTTCCTCTTTTTCTCTGTGCAGTGTGTGTGCACGCACGAGTTACTTAGCTTATCTATTTGAAGTCATAGTGGTCATAGGTGATCAAGTAGATCATGCCATTTGACTTTTTGAACATTGAACATTTCAACATCCTATGGTTGCATCCTATGCCTATGGTTTGTCTCTGAATAATGAACAGAAGTGTTCCTAAACAAAGACAGGATGACTAAAAATGCTCCTTTTTCACTGGATGGGCTTGTTCCCACAAAAGTCGCTGCACAAGGGTTATTCAAATCTCTTAATACTAAATATATGCCATACTAGTTATTCTGTTCAATTAGAAGGTGACACTGATTGTATTTTTGGTCATAATAGAGGTGAGAAGTTAGAATGAGAAGAAAAGTATTCAGAAATGTTGTGTCCCAGCTTCGAAATACCCAATACCCACAGTAGCATTTCCACACAATAGTTGGAAAAAAACAGTATGTGAGGAACTCATATATGTCCGAAGTCTTTTCATAAACCAGTAGGCGAAAGTACCCAAATTACCTACTAATTCCGGCGACTTTCTGAAATGCGCTTCCAATGGACACTTTACTTTCCCATGAAGCCACAGGAGAGAATATGTGAATGGCAGTGAAGCAGCGCAATTGATGCCATAGGCCAGGGCTATTCAATTGGCGGCCCGCGGGCCAAGTGCGGCCCGCCAATCATCTCCATGCGGCCCGAGAGCACCCCAACATCCCCCTCCTATTCCTGGTGGTGCGGCTAAATTTGGTTTGATATGCGCGTGTGTGACGGTCCTCTATCTATATACAAACCGTTACACGTGGCACATGCAGCTGGATGACTACACGCACTGTGTGTGTGCCATGAGCACTCCAACTGACCTGAGAGAAACGTTTTCAGTCCGAATATTTCAGCAGTTATTATGTGTGTCCCGTATATCTGTCGACTGAACCGTATTTTTGTCGACTGAATTAATTTCCTTTTCATGAATTGGCCAAACGCGCGTGCATAACAGTCAACGATTCGGATTCGTTCGGACCGTTCTGTCACTTAATCATCTGAAGCGGTTTCTCGGTCAGTAAGAACAACAAAATAGCGCTGGTTTCAGTTGTTTCACAAGTTTACTTTGAACTAGGCAGCACGGTCCAGTGGATAACGGAACGCAAAGCTTAAAGGAGTTGCGTTTACTCCCGGTCCCGGATACCATTATTAAACAGCGTTGCGACATCCATTGAGAAGCGTTTCAATCGGACACTCCTCTCTGTTACAAACCACAAATCACTCAATGATTTTTAGCTAGTTTTAAATCGGATGAAACAGCCTTAACATTCCCAACACTACTGATGAGGTAAATAGCAGAAACATGAACAAAGTTAGAATACTATAAATGCCATAATCACAACCCTTGCAAACATTTACCATGAATGTAATAATTTACCATGGTTTGGGCAGAAATGTGGAATATTTATATTGAATACTATGTTATAGTCATTTATTTTAATTGCATTAGATTTATTAGGGGGTAGAGGAATATATAATTCATTAGTGTGTATAATTGTTTACTTTTTAGGCATTTTTTTATACAGTGGTAGTGAGCCACAAGTCTTACTGTCAGGATATTTTAATTTAAGCCTATAATAATTATTAATAAAATAATTCTTACCAATAGCAATGATATTGTATAATTCAATTTATTTGTATATAGCTATAAAAAAGTAATTTTTTATGGTCTGCATACTGTTGGGTACCACATTTCCTAGTAAATGCAAAACCTTTTTTTGTTTACTTTAGCTTATTTATTGATACTGTTATGTGTCAATAAATAAGCAAAACCCACCGGCCCAGCTCAACTTTTCGATTTAATAATGCGGCCCTTGAATGAAGCTAATTGAATAGCCCTGCCATAGGCCACAGTCGTTATAGCCTCCATATTTCATTAATATTACACACACTATATAGAACATTGTTTTTTAACAGTCGCAAATGAAACTGCAAACCAAATGTAGTACCTACTATCCAGTATTCGATTACGGACACAGTGAATGCATTACTAACCAGTAACCAACGTCAGTGCTTGTACTAACCACCAGGCACTGCCACAGAGAATGTCATGCCAGAAAGAATTCAAAACGGGCTAAAACTTCAGTTTCACCGTGGAAGTAGGAAAGAAATTTAAGCTATAAAGATTCACATAAAAAAGCTGAAGGCTTTTATTTAGTGGCCTAATATGTTTTGGGTTTTATGCTCTATTCATTTTTGATGCTGAACGTGTGCGGTTGGCCATGAGCTATGAATTATCTCTTCACATTAAGTGATGTGAAACTGTGATATTTCCTGACCACAGGAGACAGGACGTAAGTGAGATACTGATCTCTCTGCCACAAAAATAGTTTGTGTGCGAACGCTTGAGCTCAGGTTGGATGACAACTGGCAGCCTTTTTGAATTGGCATAAACGCCATAGCGACATTTAATCAGCGCATTTCAACAGGGCCTTTTCAATGCCTTATTTTGAGAATTGTAGAGGATTTTTTTTTTGGGTTTTATCAGTTATTATTTGGTTTATTGGTTCTTTGGTAAAATGTGTTGTCAGTCTCTAAGCCTTCTATCGCAGGGTGGGCAGCATATATATATATATATATATATATATATATATAAAGAGAGAGAAAAAGAGAGAGAGAGATAGTAGAAATAGATAGATAGATGCCATCAATACAAAAGGAACAAGGATTTATGATTACTTGACAAATTATAGTCTGTCTTTCTTTGTAGCTAGCTTCTCACGAGTGTGACATGTCAGTCAGACCACATGTTAAAAAGAAAAAAATGAAAGAAGAAAACAGAGATAAAGAGAGATTGTGTGAAGATATACCATGTTGTAGCGGAAAGGACAAACTGTTTTGTTTTGTTTTTTCTTCAAATGAGCAAAACAAGCCTCTGTATATCACAATGTTGTTATGAGAGAAACTTGTTGTATGATATTTAAATATTATCAGGAAAAAAAATGTGCCTCTGTAATTGTCTTCCATATATACAGAATAGACCTCTGTGTGGATCTCGATTAGCATGTTTCTGTGTATGAAGAGGATGTGCTGCACTGGTGATAAGGATGTAAGCACAGTATGGACACAGGTGTGCAGTAAAACAGTATAGGCCAGGATATTCCACACAACTATATATCTTCGTTTAGGGGTGGGTTTATATTACAAATACACATATACATCAGTGTATGTAATATATCATTTGTTGAGGGCAAATAAACACTGATGATGACACTATTATTGTCTGCTCTTGGTTCTATGCAGAGCTCTTTTATCAATTGTACAGAAAAGGAAAAACTGTGGAAACCTTGTGTAGACTGTCTTGATGTGGAGAATTTCTGTCTGTCCAGAAAATAATGAGTGCTGAATTGCTAAAAGAAAGAAAACAGCAGAATATGCAGTTTTGCTCACGCACAATTAGTTAACTTTCTTTTAAGTTCTCACTTATATTAATTTTGTGCCTTTTAAACATCCTTTTGTGTCCATCAGACTCAAAAAAAGCCCTGGTCATTCTGAATTAATAGAAAACATACTATTTATAGACAACCCTTGATATTTTTTCCATGGAATATGCATAACACAATCTCTCTGGCCATAATTTTATGCTAAAACATGCACTGTAGCTAAATTGAGCATTGTAAACTTTTTGACCAAAAATGTTTGAAAGCAATGTAAGCATACAAAGATTCAAAAACCTGTGAAAAATAGGATCTGGCACACTATTTTAAATCTGGTAAACTGTGTAGTACAAATAATATTTGAATTGTGAAGGTGCAGTAGATACTGAAGGAACAGACAGTTTTTTTTTAGTTTTGTTTACGTTCTCTTTTTTGTTTTGTGACTAATTGTAGTGTACATGTCTTCTGAGCAAGATTGGGGTTTGTGGGTTTGGTATTGTTTCCATAAGATAAAGATTTGAATGGTTAGCTGCACATTAACTTGATGTTAGCATTAGCCACATGCAGGAGAGTGGTTGTGTGCATATCTGGATTTTTTTAATGTGTTTTGTGATGGATTGTATTCATTTACAGAGTAGTTTTATCTTCTCAGAACTGTATGTGAAAGTTTGCATAGTCATGCTTGACTGATATCTGGATTCCCCTATTTCTAATTTGATGTTCGTTCAACTCAGTTGAATTTCACACCTTTGTGCTTTCGTTGCTTGTGCGTGTGTTTGTGTGCGTGTGTTTTGACAGAAAAAAAAATTCTGTATACCTATTTGAGCATGTGTAAGATGCAAACATTTGAGTGTACTTTTTAGCAAGTTCAGTAAGGCTACGTTCACACTGCAGGCTGAAACGACCTAATTCCGATTTTTTTGCCCCTATGCGACCTGTATCTGATTTTTTCATGACAGTCTGAACGACACAGATCCGATCTTTTCAAATGCGACCCAGGCCACTTGGGTATGTGGTCCAAATCCGATATGAATCCGATCTTTTGAAATGCGACTTCAATCTGAACGGCCAGGTCACATATATCCGACCCGCACGTCATTGCACGCACCTGTAGCTAGCCAATACACGCTAACTCCAACGCGTTTCTGCACTGACTGTTATGGGCCGCTGCAGACGTGTCTCTTCCCCAGTGTTGTGCCTGAACGCGTTCATATACTGTATTACTGCCTGATGAACATTACTGTGAACACGTTCATTCTGGTGTCTGTGAACGTGCGCTCTCTCTCAGTATAACTTTGGGTGCCAGATTGATTTCTATAGAGACTTCCAGGCGAAAACCTGGCTAAAACACATGTAAACATGCTTTAAAATGTAGCAAAAAAACACCCAATCTGGCAACACCATCCACCAGTGTCGCACCGCGGCCGCAGGTGACAAAGCAAGGAG